TGTGAACTACAAGGACTACAGAACCCCCAAGGAAATCACCAGGTTAAAGATTTAAAAAAAAAAAAAAAAAAGTTGAAGTCAAGTCTTGTTGGAAGGAGCAGAGCACCTGGGATGCCAGTCTGAGTGGTGGGTGCCCTGCAGACACTCAGCAACTAACAGCAGGAATTCTTGGATATCTCTGAGGGAAATATTCCTAAATGGTTATGTGCAAATCAGCTTTCCAAAATGGACATTTAAAATTTTTTCTTGGCTGAATGTGGTGGCTCAGGCCTGTAGTCCCAGCACTTTGGGAGGCTGAAGCAGGTGAATCATGAGGTCAGGAGTTCGAGACCAGCCTGGCCAATATGGTGAAACCCCATCTCTACTAAAAATACAAAAATTAGCCAGGTGTGGTGGCGGGTGCCTGTAGTCCCAGCTACTCAGAAGGCTGAGGCAGAAGAATCTCTTGAACTCAAGAGGCAGAGGTTGCAGTGGGCCGAGATCGTGCCACTGCATTCCAGCCTGGGTAACAGAGCGAGACTCTATCTCAAAAAAAAAAAAAAAAAAGACAAAAGTTAACTGGGCATGGTGGTGCATGCCTGTAGTTTCAGCTACTCAGGAGGCTGAGACAGGAGAATTGCTTGAACCCAGGCGGTGGAGGTTGCAGTAAGCTGAGATTGTGCCACTGTACTCCAGCCTGGGTGACAGAGTGAGACTCTGTCTCAAAATAAACATTTTTCTGAAGATTTTCATTTCAAGAAATTCTGTTTCCTTGCTCTTTGCATAGGGAAAGATTATTTTGTGTTGATGCATATATTTATCAAATTTGGATTTAGAATATACTGGATTCTCCTGAAGACAGATGTAGCTAAAAGTGGGCACAGCAGGCTGAGAAGGGTGCCATTCTCAGTAAGCCATTGCCATGACCTCAGAAACTTTGAGTCACATTTAGACTCTATCCTTTGCAGTTTTTGACTTACTTTCAAGTTTACTTGTGCACCTTGTATTGATAAAGTTATAATAACAATGATAATAAATCAATTGCAGTTAACCAGGCACCACCTTTATTTGTCTTAGTTTGTTATGATACCTGCCTTCATTTAAGCATAAAGAACCAAAAATCAAGAGAGGTTAAATGGCAGCTTCTAAGGGAACCAGGACACAAATTCTGGACGGCCGATTCATAATCACATACCGTTCTTTGCCTGCCCACCATGGATGGGTCACAGTCACTCGGACACACAGCCCGTGGGTGATTTGGTTGTAAGCTTCCCTGGGCCTGAGCCCCCTTTGGGGTTCCAGTGATGGCCTTGATCAGGGCAGCACAGCTTGGGGTGTGCAGGAACCAAAGCTGCAGGAGAAGGTCTGAGAAAAGGTGTTGAGAATCACTTCACTATTTCTCATGAGAGTGAAGTCCATCCTTCTAGGTGAGATGGGAACAAGGACCAAAAGAGGCCAGGGCTTCATTGGTTCCATTTGGGACCTGGTGGGGTTTAGGTTAAGAAAAGGTGTGAGGCATCTCAATTTACCGAAGCGAGACTTCAACAGACCATTACTGGCTTTATGAAGGAGTTCATTACATAGTGACATGAGATTTTTCTTTGAGTAGAACTTCAGGACTGACTGTGAGGCCAGTCCCTTTAAGATGACTGATTTCACCAGCCTATGATGGAATCCCATGTGACCCCTTCAGCCTGTGAAATGCATAGTGCTTTGGTGGGATGTGACTTCTTCATGCTGAGACCCTCTTACACTCAGTCGTACTGCAAGCCCCTCGTTTCTTCTCTGTTTGCGATGGCAGGAGAAGGCCACATCTTAACAGAAGCACAAGAATTTGCATTCAGAGGTTCCAAGCTGAGAAGTGGGGATGCTGTAGAAGCTCTTTTTTTTTTTTTTTTTTTTTTTTTGACAAAACCTCTATTTTTAATTGTTATGGGTACATAATAGTATTTATGGGGCATGTGCAACGTTTTGATACAGGCATACAATGTGTAATCATCACATCAGGGTCCTTGGAGGTACCCATCATCTCAAATATTTATCATATTTATCCCTCTTCTCGTTATTTTTAAATATACAATAAATTGTTAACAATAGCTAATTCATAATCACAATAAGTCATCTTATTGTACTACCGAATACTAGATCTTATTTTTGTACCTATTAACCACAAGGTTGGGGCTATTCATGAGCATGGCTGATAACTCTCGAGTGCAGGCAAACGCTTGGAATTTTGTTGGAGGTCCTGTCATCTCAAGAAATCGGTGCTGTCTGCCATGAAAGCCGTCTTTGTTGGGAAATTCCCAGGGCCTCTGACCCAGGTGGACACTCTCATACCTTGGGGGGGTGGTAGTGAAGCACACATCCCCTCAATCATGTCTCAATGAAAAGTTTGTGCTTGTTGTAACTCAGGGAAGCAAAACAGACCAGTGCAGTGTGATTGAACAGTGTGTTCTCTCCCGACAGGTGGGTTTGATCTGGACATCAAAGGCTGGGGCGGAGAGGACGTGCACCTTTATCGCAAATATCTCCACAGCAACCTCATAGTGGTGCGGACGCCCGTGCGAGGACTCTTCCACCTCTGGCATGAGAAGCGCTGCGTGGACGAGCTGTCCCCTGAGCAGTACAAGATGTGCATGCAGTCCAAAGCCATGAACGAGGCGTCCCATGGCCAGCTGGGCATGCTGGTGTTCAGGCACGAGATAGAGGCTCACCTTCGCAAACAGAAACAGAAGACAAGTAGCAAAAAAACATGAACTCCCAGAGATGGATGGGGGGAGACACTCTCTCTTTCCTTTTGCAATTACTGAAAGTGGCTGCAACAAAGAAAAGACTTCCATAAAGGACGACAAAAGAACTGGACCGGTGGGTCAGAGACGAGAGAGCCTCCAATTTCTCTCTGTTTGGCTTTTTACAACAGAAATCAAAATCTCCACTTTGCCTGCAAAACTAGCCCAGTAGCACCCTGCGAAGTGTCTGACAAAGGCAGAATGCTTGTGAGATTATAAGCCTAATGGTGTGGAGGTTTTGATGGTGTTTACAGCAAACTGATACCTATTGTTTTGTGTGCTCACTGAAATATTCATGATTTAAGAGCAGTCTTGTAAAAAGTTCATTAGCATGAAAGGCAAGCATATTTCTCCTCATATGAATGAGCCTATCAGCAGGGCTCTTGTTTCTAGCAGTGCTAAAATATCAGAAGGCAGAAGAGGAGATGTGCTTATTATGATCCTAGTGAGTACGTTAAGCAAAATCAAATGGACCAGAAAAGAAACAGTAAGTATCGTGTTATTTTTTTCCCAAGATTAATCAAACATAATCTGCTTATCTTTTTGGTTGTCCTTTTAACTGTCTCCGTTTGTTTCTTTTATTTAAAAATGCACTTTTTTTTCGCTTGTGAGTTAGTCTGCTTATTTACCACTTTGCAAGCCTTACAAGAGAGCACAAGTTAGCCTACATTTTTATATTTTTAAAGAAGATACTTTTAGATGCAGTTTGAGAACTTTCAGTTCAAAGCATCAAACTGATCCTGTATCAGAGGACATGCCAAATGCTGATTCAGTCCGGCACTGAGTGTCAGGCCTGGAGACATAGGGAAGGAATGGTTTGTACTGATGGAGATATACAGATACTTTATCTGAAGAGTGTTTTCGAAGAGGAGCAACTGAACACTGGAGGAAAGCAAAATGACACTTGATGCTTTACAGAAATGGAAACTCATTCAGACTGGTGATATTGTGATGTAACTAAAAGTCAGAAACCACATTTTCCCCTCAGAAGTGGGGACCGCTTTCTTACCTGTTTAAATAAACCAAAGTATACCGTGTGAACCAAACAATCTCTTTTCAAAGCAGGGTGCTCCTCCTGGCTTCTGGCTTCCATAAGAAGAAATGGAGAAAATACATATATATATATATTTTGTGAAAGATCAGTCCATCTGCCAGAATCTAGTGGGATGGAAGTTTTTGCTACATGTTCATCCACCCCAAGCCGGGTGGAAGTAACTTAATTCGTTTTTAAATTAAGCAGTTCTACTCGATCACCAAGATGCTTCTGAAAATTGCATTTTATTACCGTTTCAAACTGTTTTTTAAAAAATGAATACAGTTCACATAGAGTGGTTTCTACATTCATGTGAAAATTATTAGCCAGCACCAGATGCATGAGCTAATTATCTGTTTGAGTCCTTGCCTTCTGTTTGCCCACAGTAAACTCATTGTTTAAAAGCTTCAAGAACATTCAAGCTGTTGGTGTGTTAAAAATGCATTGTATTGATTTGTACCGGTAGTTTATAAAATTCAATTAAAACACAGGCCATGAATGGAAAGTGGTATTGCACAGCTAATAAAATATGATTTGTGGATATGACTGCCTTGTGGAGTAAGAATGCCATTTTGTTTCGTTTTTGGAAACAGTGTATTGTGCATGGACCAGGGTTTCTCAGCCTTGGTACTACTGACATGTTAGACAAGGTAACTCTTTGCTGTGGGGGGCTGTCTTCTATCCTGTGGGATGTTTAACCACACCCCTAGCCTATACCCACTAGAGGCCAGGAGCGTCTCCTACCCAGTTTTGACAACTAAATTGTCTCCGGTCATGCTCAAAAGTCCTTTGAGGGGAAATCACCCCTGGTTAAGAATCACTGGGCTAGAGGGAGAAGAGAACCATAATGAAAAACTTGAATTATTTATACATTAACTTGTCTGTTTTCATTAGAGGAAATTGAGAAATGATTTCCAAGGCCCCTTTCAACTCTGTGCTTAGTATCGTCATGTGTGGCTGGGCACTGTGGTTAATGCCTGTAATCCCAGCACTTTGGGAGGCCAAGGTGGGAGGATCACTTGAGCCTGGGAGTCTGAGACCAGCCTGGGCAACATAGTGAGACCCTGTCTCTAGAAAAAAATACAAAATTAGGTGTGGTGCACACCTGTAGTCCCAGATACTCAAGAGGCTGTGGTGGGAGGATCACTTGAGTCCAGGAGGTTGAGGCTGCAGTGAGCCCTGATTGCACCACTGCACTCCAGCCTGGGTAAGAGTGAGACCTGGTCTCAAACATGTGTATTTTTTTTTCATATGCTCTGATGATACTAGTGACTTGAGGACATGTGTTTGGCCTGTCTCTGCCGTGGTTCTGCTGGATTTGTGCTGAGTGACCTGCACGCTCTTGCCCATATCCTCCCAGTCAGAAGGATGCATTTCTAACAAGGCTGGTGGTGGCAATCCAATGTTCTGACTGTGGCACTGGGTGGGTCTAGGTGTCTCACTGGTGGCCCCATCCAGGCCGCACTCTGTGGGCTCATCAGCCATTTTTGTACTTGTTTAAATTGCATATCACAGATGCCCAAGACAGTGGTGAAGAATTTTTTTCCTTTCCAACTTTTTAAGAGGTTCCTGTGCAGATGTACTACGTGGGTAAAATGTGTGTTGCGGGGGTCTGGTGTGCAGATTCTTTGGTCATCCAGGTAATAAGTGCAGTACGTATTTTTCAATGCTCGCCCTCCTCCCACAGTCCACCTTCAAGTAGGCCCTGGTGTCTTTTGTTCCCTTCTTTGTGTTCATGGGTTCTTATCATTTAGCTCCCACTTAGAAGTGAAAACATGCAGTGTTTGGTTTTCTGTTCTTGTGTTAATTTGTTTAGGCTAATAGTCTCCGGTTCCATCCATGTTGCTGCAAAGGACATTATTTTGTTCTTTTTTATGGCTGTGCAGTTACGAATTGGGTTTTTTAAAGTTGCAGAGAGTAGCTGATGAGGAGACGGAACAGCATAATATTAAACTATGGTATTTCTTTTTAAAGCTTATTCAGGTAAAACAGTTTTATCAAAGGGTAGAGGCCCTCTTTAGCAACATGCTAGAGGAGAATACCCCCATTGCCTGCCCAAGACATACAGAAAAGAAGGATGGTAGAAGGTCCCACGAAAACATTAGAATTAGGAGGTTGGAATTTAAACTTAGCAAAGGAAAGCTGTACCAGAACAGTGGTTTCAAGAACCCAGTCACATTGCACATTCTCAAGGATGCTGCTGAGGAAGCAGTGAGTCTTGAGCTTGCCTAAGGCCCCTTCCAGCTCTGCGTGCTCTCTCTGTTCCTATCCCTAAACTGCCCAGTGACCAGCACAGGTTATCTTCCTGAGCTGGGCTCTCTAATACACTGGGGGTCTCCTTCAGGCAATGGCGTACTGGTACAACTTGGTGGGAGCCAGTTTTGAGCATTTCTTCCCAGTGCTCACTCCATGTTGACTGGGTTGTAGCGTGAAATACACCATGGTGGGAGTATTTACACCATGGACTCTGGCAACTGGCAAATGGCTGCCAATCAGCCATCCTCACAACCCCTGGGTCCCTAGGCCTGGCCCATTGTTAAATATTATATCAACACATCATTGCCTCCAAGTGACATACCTGGGCTCCCTGGGCTCTTTTTTCTGCGGTCATCGACTTCCTAGCCCCTCTTTGTATTTGTAAATGTGGTTGACTGCCCCTTTCCACATCAGTGATGAAGATCAGGCCTAGGAAAATAGCTACCCAGAATCTCATTTTACTAATGTTTTTGTTTCAGGAAAAATCCTCTCACCTAATTTTATATAATCAAGGTTCAGCTCAGTAGAGTAGTTGATATCATGGTTTTTCCAGCCAAACAACCTGGGTTCAGATTCCAGTTATTTCTCTTGCAATTTACAGGATCTTTAATTTAAAGGAGTCGCTAGATGTATTCGTACCTCGATCTCCTCATTCAGCGTGATGGATTCAATCCCTTGTATATCATGCAATTGTTTTAAAGATTAAATGGGTTCATATGTTTGAAGCACTTCGGATGCATCAGGCATACGGTAGGTGTTTAGTTATTAGCATTCAACACACAGTTCCTCACATACAATTGTGTATCTGGCAGTGTCTGTTAAGCTTCTTGGTATCCCTAGTGCTGCTTGGATATAATCAGACGGCTATTACAGGCAATACAGTAAAGATTATGAAGCCATCATGTACACTGTTGTTCTTTTTGTCATTCTGAAAACTTAATTTATCTGAAGGAGAAGGGTTACTAGGAGTGTGAAATTTAATGGGTAATTTCTACCTTACGTTCCACACTCAGTAATATGGAGTTGATACCCTCCTAGGCAGCTGAGAAGCTTTCCAGGGTTTTGAAGTCAGGAGCATAGCTAGGAACCTTATGTTCATTACCCCAATCTTCTAAGCTAGATAGTATCATTACTTTCATTTTCCAGGTGCAGAGAATGAGGATCAGAAACACTGAAGAACTTGCCCAGAGATCCAACCAGTGAGTAGCCAGCTTCAGACTGATATGACCGTCATTGTCCCTGACCATGACCCGTCACATGGCCAGCTCCGGATGGATTGGAAGGTCTGCGGGAACGAGCTTTGGCCTAGTGGTAAGTCCCCAGCCTGTTGTTTTTGATTCTCAGTTTTCTACCATTTCTCTGCTCTCTAGTCCCACCTGAGAAATCACCTAACAAGGAAAGAAAGCTTGCTAACACAGGGATCTAGGAACAGCTAAGGCATCTGACCAAGCCCTCCAGCCACTCTGCAATGACAGGCAGTGTTAGGACTCCATATGGGATCAGAGCCCTGGAATCTGGCTCTCATGCAGGATTCCGACATGTTACATTGAAAGAGTGATGGCTTGGCACAGGGGCTCACGCCTGTAATCCCAGGGCTTTGGGAGGCCGAGGCAGGTGGATCACGAGGTGAGGAGTTCAAGACCAGCCTGGCCAAGATGGTGAAACCCCGTCTCTACTAAAAATAAAAAAGAGTTAGCTAGGCTTGGTGGTGGGCGCCTGTAATCCTAGCTACTCGGGAGACTAAGGCAGAGAACTACTTGAAACCCGGGAGGTGGAGGTTGCTGTGAGCTGAGATCGCGCTACTTCACTCTAGCCTGGGTGACAGAGTGAGACTGTCTCGAAAAAAACGAAAAAAAAAGAAAGAAAAAAAATGATTTGAGTAGGAGGGGACAGCAGGTGGGAATACTTGCTTTTTTAAGAAAAGACTTGATACTGTTCGTGAGAATTGCTGATTTGAGATAATGACCTTGGGCAGTTTCTTAGCAGGGCAGGGGTGTTTTACTCCCCACACACATAAAATGACTGGCAGCTTCATGTGATCCATATTCTGATTAGCTTTATATTTTAATTCAAAGCTGTTTCTCCTGGCAGGGCTCAGTGCTTTGCTGTTGCTGCCAAAAACTATGGGGATGGTGCCAGTTGGTTGGGGGGTTTTGACGGTAGTTTTTTTCAACACACAGAATATGTTCTTTCCTGTCAGCAGAGGTGCCTTTCAAACTGTGCATTACCGATCCTTTGAACACGCCCTCTGGAGTAGTCACCCCCATTGTCTCCTCGGCTGTGTATGGCCTTGTCTGCTATTCTAGCAAGAAGGTGGACAGAACTGTAGGGGAGGAGGGGCAGGGCAGGGCCGCTTTGGGGAAGGTCACAGCCTGGGAAGGGCGGGCATTGCTCTGGGGAGAGAAGTAGGGCTGTGCTTCTTGAAGACCTTTCTCCAGCCTCCACAGTCGCCCCAGGGACTCAGTGAGGGCCAGCCATCCATGGCAGCCTCTGTCCGGGACTAACCGAACGACCTTCAGCCTGGGTGGGATGTCTGGTGAACTGGATTTATTCTTCATCAACCTGAGTCAGATACTTGAGCTTGGAATGAAGTGCAGCCATGCCAGGCCACTTCCTCCACCTCCATTGTGATTCCTGAAGCTTCTACCCCCACTGCCAACTCACCCTGTCACTCCAGGGTTTCAAAAATGACAACAGTAAACATCATCTGGCCTGCTTAGATGTTAAAGCCCATTTGAAATGGATTAAATAAGTCAATGAAAAACCAGAAAAACACCCAAATTAAGTTCAAAGAAAGGCTGAAGAAAAAGCTTATTTACATCACTTGTTCTTTATCAGCCTCAAATGAAGCTACGTCAAAATCACAGCCCTGGCATGGCGGGCTGTCGGAAGCAGCAGGGAGCGGCTTGGTTGCAAAGCTTTTCTCGAGCGCTGGCACACCATTGGGAGGGCACCCCTGGAGGGCAAGGCATTTGCCATTCTGTCTGGTTATTGAGGTGCAGGCCCATGCAGGGCTCCCAGGATCTCAACTTCATTGGTGAGAAGATTTCACAAGAAACATCCTCCCAATTGAAGAAAAGCCAAAGCTGATTTAGACTGAGAAAAACAGAATGTGGGGGAGTTTGCTTGGCATTGCCTGACCTAGCTGGGAGACAGGCAGAGTTCATCTCAAAGGGAGCTGGGTTTGTGATGCCTCCTGGTCGAAATGGGAGGCAAATACTTGGGGATTTGTAATCAGGAATCACGAGGCAGCAGAGCCAGTTGGACAATGGCTGATTTGTGGGTAAAAACTGGTTACTGCTAATTTGGGGATTGTCAAAATCAGACATTAGAAAAAGCCCCTCTGTGCCACTTCAGATCCAGACCAAGTGAGCCCATTCTCTGCAGGTCAACTGGCAAATGAATGTATTGTGTGGTTGGTCATTAAATCCCTTACTCTTCAGAAGTTTCCTCTTCCTTCTTAAAATTCATCTCAGAAATTCTAGGAAACAAGGACAGGGGATAAACAGCCCAGTGGTCACATAAACTGAGTTGACAAAGGGGAAGTTTGCAGTGCAAGGATCCTGGTTTTGTTGGACTCATAACTCACTAGGAAAAGGAAAAGGCAATTACCCAATTACTATTTATGGAGAGGTGGCTTGTTTTCCTTTTCTTTTCTTTGTAAAGAAAGGGTCTCGCTCTGTCACCCAGGCTGGAGTGCAGTAATACAATCATAGTTCACTGCAGCCTCGAACTCTTGGGCTCAAGTGATCCTCTGACTTCAGCCTCCTAAGTAGCTGGGACTACAGGCACATGCCAATCACACCTGGCTAATTTTGGTATTTTTTTGTAGAGATGGGGTCTCACTATGTGGGTCAGACTGGTCTCAAAATCCTGGGCTCAAGCAATCTTCCTGCCTCAGTTTCCCAAGGAGCTGGGATTTCAGGTGTAAGCCACCATGCTGGGCCCATGGAGAGCTTTCTGGATGCCAGATATTTAACATATTTCTTTCCTAATCTTCAGAACCCAGGTGACTTGAGTAACATCTGTCTGAGAGATGAAACTGAAGCTCAGACAGGCTTAGTTACTGTTTTTCTTTAACGACTCCACACAGTTAGTTATGGTATAGCCAGGAACCCACCCCAAACCTGCTGGGCCTGCTCTCTACTATATCCAGCAGCCTGATTATCAAATAATGTGTTTTTGCCACAATTAGAATAGGGTACTTTTATCATTTAAGCTTCCTGACAATTGTCAGTCTGGGGAAGCAGTGGGAAGCCTAAAGATCCCTGCACAGGAAGAGAAGGTAGGATGGGAAGTAGCTGGAAATGTAAAAGTGGTACTAAAATCCACCTGGAGGCAGTGCAGTGCAGAATTAACATTGTAGAAAATTTAATCTCTGATGGGGAAAGGACAGATGCAAGAGCTCTCCTAAAATACAACAGAAAAGAAGGGAGAGATGAAAACAATGGGCGTGAGAATACCACATGAAAAGCAAAGAAAAATCAAACATTTATAGCTATTCCCGACGAAGAGAAAAGCTAAATTCAAACAGATTATTTAAAGATACAGTTGTAGAAAACGTATGTTCTAAAACAAAACAAAACAAACCCTGTGAATTGCAGCCTGAAAGGAAAGCATTTACCACGTTCTGGATAAATATGAAAGCAAAGAGGCCCCATGGAAACGTATCCATGCATAACACATGCATTTGTGTCTTCTCTGTCACCAAGTAGCAGGAGCCTGAAAATCCGTGTGTATGGGCCATAAAACATGTTTGGACTCCAGTGCATTAAGAAAACAGCCTTTGCAAAAGGTGGCAATTGCAAAACTTGAAGCCATAATTTTTTTTTTAACCTAAAAGATTTCATGTCATATTAGCAAAGGATGCTTAATTCCAAAGCATTAGCTCAGATAGGCAATTTTGGGTGGAAATGTCCTGGAGGTATTTTTGGTGACCTGACTTCTCTGATCTTTTTTTTTTCCTAACTTACCCTGTGTTTTCTCACTTTTTAGGGTAAGCTCTGAGCCAGAAAGCATGTTTGTTTGTTTGTTTGTTTGTTTTAGTAGAGACTGAGTTTCGCCGTGTTGGCCAGGATGGTCCCAATTTCCTGACCTTGTGATCTACCTGCCTTGGCTCCCAAAGTGCTGGGATTACAGGCATGAGCCACCGTGCCTGACCAGAAAACACTTCTTGAGACTGCCTAGCTAGCACTGCTGGTGACACTGGGGGCCAAGTGACCTTCTTTGTGCATCGTACTGCAGTAGGGTAGGATAGGAGGCCAGAAGCAGGGTCCTTGCAGGTGACCTGATGCATCTGTGAGCATCTGGCAATACGGTGGCAGCCAGAAAATCTTACATGACTGTGGGAGGGAGATTCCAGAATTGTGGGAGAGAAGAATCTAGATGGGCAGGGAGTAGCATTTGGGCACAGGCCCAGTGAGTCAGGGTATGCAGACCAGAGCCCCTAGGCTTGAGAACCAGGACAGTAACATGAGGCCAGCATTCCTAGACCCAGAAACCTTGCGCAGGCAGGTCAAGGAGCTGGGCTTGTGGAGGCAACAGGAGGAGACCAGGATCGATCCGAGTTTGGACATCTTCACCTTAGACCGTAACTCAGGGTAGATGTAGGCAGGACTGAGACCACAGCACAGCTCGGATGACAGTTCAGGCCTCTAGAATCCCATTCAGTTGAAATCAGTTTCTGAAATTTGTTTTTTTTTTTTTTTTTTTTTTTTTTTTTTTTTTTTTTGAGACAGAGTCTCGCTCTGTCGCTGGCTGGAGTGCAGTGGCCAGATCTCAGCTCACTGCAAGCTCCGCCTCCCGGTTCACGCCATTCTCCTGCCTCAGCCTCCCGAGTAGCTGGGACTACAGGCGCCCACCACCGCCCGCTAATTTTTGTATTTTTTAGTAGAGACGGGGTTTCACCGTGTTAACCAAGATGGTCTCGATCTCCTGACTCGTGAAATTTGTAAACCATTCTCCTTCCCTAAGAATTTCAACTATCATTCATGCCATCATATCATCCAACAGTGACAGTGTATTTTTCTGTCAGCAACAAATAGGATAAACTAGTCCAGAACCCACATCTACTCCCCTTTGTAGTAATGGGTTAATTCAGTTGGGCAACTTCCTGTTTTCTAAATCTTCCTTTAGTAGGATGTTGCTTTGTGTAGTTATAGCTGGATATGGGCACACTTATTTCCTACAAGATAACTGTAGGCACAGGAGGGTACTGGATTTCTTTCCCCCCCCCCAACACAGAGTCTTGCTCTGTAGCCCAGGCTGGAGTACAATGGCCTAATCTCTGCTCACTGCAACTTTTGCCTCCCAGATTCAAGCAATTCTCCTGCCTCAGCCTCCTGAGTAGCTGAGATCACAGGTGCACGCTACCGTCCCTGGCTAATTTTTGTATTTTGAGTAGAGACGGGGTTTCAGCATGTTGGCCAGGCTGGTCTTGAACTGCTGACCTCATGATCCACCCATTTTGGCCTCCCAAAGTGCTGGGATTGTAGGTGTGAGTCACCGCACCCGTCCTGTACTAGAATCTTACGTCTTCCTAATTATTAGTGACAAGGGGGTACTTTCCATTCATTCCAGTGAGAAGCAGTGGAAACTTAAAATTTCAGAATTGCATGAAAATAATAAAGATCACCCAGTTAAATCATATTTTGTTGTTCAGAAGCAAAAACTGAGGCTCAGAGATAAAACGTCCCGTCCAAGGTTACACAGAAAATGGTGGGAAGAGATGAGAAGTTTCTCAATAATGCCATGATTGTTGAGTAATAGGAACAAAAAAGAGATGGATCCTTACAATAGTTTAACAATATAAACCACATGGAACATTTCAAGAAAGAGTTAAACAATGATCTGTGTTTCAAAGCTAGCTCTACCTGGCATAGTATCTCACATCTGTAATCCTAGCACTTTGGGAGGTTGAGGCAGGAGGATCACGTGTGGCCAGGAGTTCGAGGCTGAAGTGAGCTGTGATCGCACTACTGCACTCCAGCCAGGGTGTCAGAGCAAGACCCTGTCTCTAAAAATAAACATCATCCTCTTTCTCATTAGAACACACATGCCAACCATCCCCTTCTCTGTCAGTGCTGGATGCAACCAACAAGCTCATGACCACACTGTTGTATCATTCTGCTTTTATTAAAAGGCAATGTAAAAGAGTGTTGACCTACAGAGTTAGGCCAGAGGTCCTAGCCAATTTCCATCCTCCCAGAAAAATGATCTCCAGTGGCTCAGAGCCACCTCAGTCCCTGTCCAGAGTCCATTCCCGGACTGGGAGTGGACCAAGGTGGGTGGGGCGTGCAGCAGGGCATAAGATTCCTGATAGGACAAATACGTGTCCCAGGGCTAAACAGAACTGGCTGGAATGTTTTTCTTACCTCCCATTTCTACTTCATTATGAAAATGGTGGACTGGGCAGCAATTAACGGGTCAATCCTGTGTGTCAAGTTATGTAATTACATAAACGACTGTATTAGCTTTCTGGTGCTATAGTAACAAATCAGCATGAACTAAGCAGCTTAAAACAACAGAAATTTATTCTCCCGGTTCTGGAGTCTGGAATTCCAAAGTCAGGGCCATGCTTCCTTCTGAGGCTTGGGGGGAACCTGTCCCATGCGTCTCTCCTGGCTTCTGTTGGTGGCCAGCGATCTTGGATCTTGGTGTCCCTTCCCTTCTGGCTGCATCACTCCAACTTGCCTCTTGTCCCCTGGTCATCTTCCCACTGCATTTGTCTCTATTATCAAACCTCTCTCTTCTCCTGAGGATGTAAGTCATTGGATTTAGGGTCTACCCTAATCCAGTGTGACCTCATCTTAACTTGACTATATCTGCAAAGACCCTATTTCCAAACCAGGTCACATTCACGGGGATGGGGGTTAAGACTTCACTATCTATTTTGGGGGAACACAATCCAACCACAAGTAGCATCCAAACAGCCTGCTTATTCTGTTCTGGTCTATGCACTACTGATAAAAAATAAAAATACATGTGCAGATGCTTTGTCCTTTTGGTGCACTCTAGAGCCAGGGGAGGCCAGGGAAGCTGTGGCCCCATTCTCCAGAACAAGAAAACAAACTCAGTGACGTGTGCTCACTTTCCTGCAGGTCCATCTGTATTTTTATGCATGTTAAGCCGCTCATCCTATGTTTTAAAACTTTTCATTCCATTTACATTCATGACTTCTGTTTTTCTATGTCTCTCGTATCCTGGTTCCAACATGTACAGTAAGTGAGGTGTGTTTTAAGCATCATCTCAGCCAGGAAAAGGTTTTTTTTTTCTTTTGGCCAGCATTCCAAAGCCAGTGTGAAACTTGACAGGCCCCTGAAACCTCCCGAGATGATACAGAGGGAGTACAGGGGTCATATGATACTTCACAAAGATACTGGTTTTCAAGTACACCTTCATTTCTAAAAGGTTTCCATTTCTTCGTTTGTTTTATATATATCATTAAGGTCATACCCTTCATGACAGATGCTTGCTGAAATTGAGACTCTTCTCCCTTTACTTTTGGAGTGAATATGAGCAGAGGTCATTTTCTCTTGACACTGAATTCCAGTATTTGTGCAGAAGAGAGGTGTCAATGAGGATTCCATGGATGCTTTCAGTTGATCAGTACTGGCTCTGCTGCAGGGTGCTTTTGGCTTCACACATAAATGTTGCGGTGGCGTTTGTCCAGGGGAAAACCCAGCTGGAGGCTGTAGCATGACCCTGATGGAGGCTGTCACTCAAACAGCTCCAGGTAGTCAGGCAGCTGGTCCTGCTGACCGCAGGGATAGAGGAGGAGCTCCTTTCCCAGGGAAGTGATGGGTTCCTCCTGTCAATCAGAAGGCACAGGGTCAAACAGTGTAAGTAGCAACCACATGCTCTTCCTACTTCCTCAGAGGACATCACTAGCTGCCTAGCCAGGATTTACACAAAGCTTTCGTGGTTTATGATCATCTTAAGAGGCATTTTTCTTATCCACATGTGGCCAGGGTACTCTCCCTCCAGGGCTTGAGTTCTAACTTAAGACTGTTCTCATAGGTCAGGGGTCCCCAACCTCAGGGCCATGGACCTAGTACCAGTCTGTGGCCTGTTAGGAACTGGACTGTATAGCAGGAGGTGAGCAGTGGAGTGAAGCTTCATCTGTATTTACATCCGCTCCCTGTCGTTCACATTACTGCCTGAGCTCTGCCTCCTGTCAGATCAGTGGCAGCATTAGATTCTCATTGGACACCAATCTTATTGTGAACTGTGCATGTGAGGGATCTAGGTTGTGTGCTCCTTATGAAAATCTAATGCCTGATGATCTGTCACTGTCTCCCATCACCTCCAGATGGAACCGTCTAGTTGCAGGAAAACAAGTTCGGGGCTCCCACTGATTCTACACTTGATTGAACTGTATTATTATTTCATTACATATAACAATGTAATAATAGAAATAAAATGCACAATAAATGTAATGTGCTTACATCATCCTGAAACCATCCCCCAACCCCTAGTCCGTGGAGAAATTGTCATCCAGGAAGGTTAGGGACTGCTGTCATATGTGATCCATGTGGCTACAGCTTTTATTTTTTCTTTTCTTTAGCATTTCCTGTATTCTCTGCCCCAGTGGGGTTCCCTGAGTATTTAAGGAAGAACTAGGTTCTAAGATAAATGAAACGCAATTAACAATCCTGATTATCAGGAACAATTACCAAAGACAACCCCCCCGCCCCACGTACTTGTCTCAGTCCTTTTCCTTGTCATTGTCATTCACTGTTAGAGCTGCTACAGGACAGTAACTCAGAAGGCAAATTAAGTTTATGCATTGCTTCACCTTGTGATATTCCACCAAATCCGCCAGGGTGGCGTGCTGCAGCTGGTCCACGCCCAGGAAGCTGTAGGAGTCTGCAGAGGCATCGATGAGGAAATGTTTACAGCTGTCCTCTGACAGGTGGGACAGGGCATAGCCTTTGATCCTTTCACTGACTCGGATGAGAAAACTGCCGGGCATGCCTGTGCTCAGAAGAAGTTCATTTGCTTTCTTGAGTGTGAGAATTCCTGTGGCAAAGCAAAAAAAGGCAGGTATTTCAGCCAAATCATTTCCCAAACTCTCCTCTGTTAAATCCAGTTGCATGGATAGTCAGTGACAAATAAGACACAGTAAGCGCAATTTTAAGTCTGTTTTGGGCTTCTTAGGAATATGGAATATTCTGCGGGTATTTGCTAATTAGACATGAATAGGTTACAGAGGCAAACTGTATAAAAACCATGTATGGAGGTATACATGAGAGCTTAAATGTCAACCTTAAGAGGAACATATTTCCACTTTATATACCCATTTCACGCAGGTGTTAGACAGTTTATGAGGGTCTAGTGGGATGCATTGATGCTCATCCTGGGAATGTTTGATCTGGGGGGGGATTTTAAGATACTCTCCCTAGGCCACCTCAGTTTACCAACAAGGACTCAATGGCCTGGGGCGTGATTTGACTTGGTCTAGGACAGTGGTTCTCAACCAGGACAGTGTCTGAGAGAGACCTTTGATTGTCATGGATGGAGGATGCCACTAGCATCTAGTGGGTAGAGGCTAGGGATGTTGCTAAACAGCCTATGAGACAAAGAATGATCCAGCCCCAAATAGCAGTAGTGCTGAAGTTGAGAGTCCCTGGTGTGGGAGGCGCAGCAATTTAGTGACAGAGCCAAGTCAGACTCAGTTCTGTAAAGTACCTTAGACTGTAGCTACTGCTGAATGACACTACACTGGCATTTAAAGGAATAAAACTATATGTGTGTCTTCATATACATATATGAAGTTATATATAGACATCATGAATTCACACTCTTACTCCAGACCAGCCTTTTCCCCAGTTAGTCCAAACTCATGAGGTGTGACTCATGTTCCAAATTTTTTATTCCCATCATAATTCGTCGATGAATAGATAATGCTGTAAAACTCATAGAAAGTGCAGAAACGCATCTTGGAAAGATGGGGAAGTCAATGAATTATTCAGTGAGCTGTGATCTGGGAGGGAGGAACAGCGTTCTACGCGTGCCCTTTTTCATTTCAACAGATAAAACTCTTGCCTTGTTGGCTCCCTGTTGATACTCAGTACCTTATTATTAGGAAAACAAAACAGTAACAGAACCACCTTAGGAAAAGGCAATCGGCTCCCAGAGCCCTTTTGTCTTGTTAGTACAGTTAATGGGGAAGTGAACTCCCTCCAGAGTAAAATAAAACCATTTCTGTTCTCTCTTCTATAAACAGACCTTGAATGACAGGAGGATTTTAAAAATTGTTTTCTCCTAGCCAAGATCATCCGACCAGCCCTTCTCCTGCCTCCTCTTCTCCTGTTTCCTATTTGGGAGGACATAGACCCCAGATGTCCCACTGCAGAGTCCCCGTGTAGGAAGGTCAACCCAGTGTGAGCTCCAGGTAAGAGCTGGGAGTGGATGAAAAAGGCCGGTCTCCCCGACGTGCAGATAGTCAATGTCCTTGAAACAGACCAGGGCCTTGCTCCTAGGGGCTCTGGCTCTATTATACCCATTCCCAGCAGATGACTGATGCACATGCCTTGTACCCATCACGTCCAGTGGCTTTTTCACCCCTTCCCCACTGAGACAGACCCACTGGACACTGCAGGCACCACGGACACTGAGGGAGCCTCTTGGTTCAGATGCTCCACTATCCACATGAGGTACTCAAATCATGGCTATCTAGTTCCATCAGATACGGGCTGCTGCTTCTGTGTGTCTATTTCCCCTTCCTAAGCATACCTGGTCCCACTGATAAATTACAAATGACAACCATACATTGAAACAAGGCACCAGGTACCAGCCCATGTGGGGACTGCACATGGCAAATCTCTGAAGACACTGTATGAGGCTGTCTTTGAAACCCAGGGATGCTTTTCAATGACCCTGAAAAGTGCCCTTCAGAAACAAGAAGCCACGATTGGAGGAGAAGCAGCATTCTGGAGAAAGATTAGTCCCTCCTCCTAGACTGATGGCTCACTATGAAATTCCAGGTTGTTTCAACAGATGGGGCAGATGTTATAATTTATGACATCTGGAAATTATCCAGATGAATCTGAATTCCTAAAATAAAAGCTATTCTGGAAAATTATCACCAAACCTGGGCTAACTAAGGTCAAATGCCTTTTAAGATGAGGTCGTAGTTACTATAACTGAAACCTTCCAAAAGCCTGTTAGCCTTACGCACAGATCTTGGTGCCACCTAATCTCCTGGGACACCAGGACCCAATCAAACGTATTGGTGGCAAAGCACAGGTCATAGCAGAGACTCCTTGTACACCATGGGATTGGGCAGGTTCCAAAGGGAAGTGCCCTGGAGACTAGGCTTTGAATGATCCAAGAGGTAGTTTGTCTTTGCTTCTTTTGCTTAGTAAGAGGATTACTATTCCTTAATAGCAAACCAGCTTGGTGCAGCTAAATACACAGGTCAATGTACAATTTGTCATGAATCCATCAGGGGCAGCGTGTGCATTTGGGGTGTCCTGGTTGTGATTACTGGCAAGCAGTTAGGTTTATCTGCTGGGATAGGGAATTCTTGAGCACAAAACCAAAATCCTAGGTTAGATACTGATCACTGAGGACTCAATCAATGTTTTCTTTTTCTTTTAAACAATCACTCAAGCTGCAGTGCAGTGGTGCGAGCTCAGCTCACTGCAATCTCTGACTCCTGGGTTCAAGCGATTCTCATGCCTTAGCCTCTTGCGTAGCTGGGGTTATAGGAGCCCACTACCATGCCCAGCTAATTTTTTGTATTTTTAGTAGAGACAGGGTTTCACCATGTTGGCCAGGCTGATCTCAAACTCCTGGCCTCAAGTGATCTGCCCACCTTGGCCTCCCAAAGTGCTGGGTTGGCCAGGCTGATCTCAAACTCCTGGCCTCAAGTGATCTGCCCACCTCGGCCTCCCAAAGTGCTGGGATGATAGGTGTGAGCCACCGCACCCGGCCTCAGTCAACCTTCTCATGGTACTTATCCCCCAAGCTGCCCTTTGCACAACTCTAAGAATTCTGAAGCAGGGGTCTTCCCCCCAGCCCTAAAGGCCATGACATTGGTGCTGCTTCCCTCTGACCTGATCTCTCTCCACACAACTTAAAAGAACCAAACCTGAGGTACTAGGAGGATTTCTGTGCTAGTGAAAAGGGATAAATAATTTTTTTTTTAAGACAGGGTCTTACCCCATTGCCCAAGCTGGAGTGCAGTGATGCGATCATGGCTCACTGCAGCCTCAACCTCCTGGGTAGCTGGGACTGCAGGCACGTGCCACCATGCCCGGCAAATTTTTGTAGAGATGGGGTTTCGCCATGGTGCCCAGGTTGGAATATTTTAGTCCATCAGTTTAGTGAACCAGATTTTCACCCAGGCAACAGTCTGTTGATTTTACAGTTGAATCCAGGCCGGGACTGGCAGACCTCTGGCAGCCCAGAAGAAAGCAGATGTTACTGCGTGAGGTCTGATGGGCAGCGTCTGGCCCTCAAGAGCCTGGGGCAGAGCAGGAACTGAAACTCCTGAGAGCCTACACAAGAGCACCAGCACAGGGGTTCGTCACAGCTGGAGAAGGTCCTACTCTGCTCTCTGTGTGATAATGCAAATAGTGCCACATGTGCTACTGAGCACTGAAATAGGGCTTATTTCTGATTCATTTTGATGTCAAAAGCCACCTGTTGTTTAGGGGCTACCCTAACTGGATAGTGTAGCTCTAAACCTCTCTAGAATGAACATTTTGCCCAGGTAAAGGCCCCAGGGAACTACTTTTTGCATAGGAGAGGGTAAACATACCCAAGAACCTGAAAGTAACTCAAACTCCAGTAGGCTCCAGTTGGAAATCCAAGTGGTAATAACTGCCCCACAAAGCGGTTCAGTGGTATCTTTCTCCACAGCTTCCTCCTGGAAAACTCCTACTCACTCGGCAAGCTTCAACTCAAGAGCATGACACGTCCTGATCCTAGCCTCGGCAGTCAGTCTCAGTTTCTCCTAGACCTGCTGTGCACCTGCTGCCACCTCCATCTGAGCACTCAAGTGGTCAATGCAGGGTCTCACCTGTACTGATCTCCATCTGTGTACTCAGCTAGTTTTCGCTTCTATCCAAGAATTCACAGAACTTTCTGCCATAACTGTCCTGCCCTCCCCGACTTCCTTGTGACCTCCTCGAGGCCAACTACTCCATCTTATTTATTTTTACACACTCAGCACCTGCCACTTAGAAGATGGCCAGAAAAGGGTTTAATGAATGCTTGTGTCTGATAATCAAGTCAGAAACTTCCTTCTCTGGGACACTTCGGTGCAGCCACTTCCTATAGTCTAAGAATTGTGATCACAGGGACAAGAGATGCATTTCGTCTTTCTATGAAGTGCCACCAGGTCTAAATATTATTTGGGTACATTTGTACAACTCCTGTGTCTGGAAAATGTGTGTTTAAAAATCAAATGGAAGACAGCCAAATAAAGTTTGTATTACTTCCTTTCATCTTCACAGCAACCCTACATAGACATATTGTTATTATCCTCAAATAATGGATGAGAAAACTTGCATACCCTGCTGAAGGTCATTCGGGTAGGTCAGGAGAAGCACTGGGATTAGACCCAGGCTGGTTGACCTCAGGGCCCACGCTGTCACCCATTCTCTCAGACAAAACACCTGCTTTGCACTGGCGTACCATACTGTTCAGCGTGCTTCCACTGCATTTTAGAGTTGTTTTCTCTAAAAAGCAGAGCTGATGTTATCATCATCTCTATTTTATAGATGAGGAAATTAACGCAGAAAAGGCAAGTACCCAAGCTTGCAGGATTAGCAAATGACACTTCCAGGGTTTTTGTCTCCTATTGTAGGGTTTTGCTTTTTAACCCACCAGGCTTATGGAATTTTCGTGGAACGAACTGAAAATAAAATGGGTCTTTATTTCACAAAGCAGTGTTCATTTCTCACCTTGGCAACTTAAAGAAGATGCATTTTTCACTGGTTACAGATGTGTAGTATGCCTTGATGTGGGGACAGTGACTCTTCCAAAATCTAAGCTTAGCATTCATGCTGCTGAGGACTGAGAAGCTCCTTAGTAAGTCAAGGATCAGAACTATTAGCATTATTCATCCTCACTTCATTATCTTAAATGGCTAACACTTGTTAACTAGGGCTTATTATGTGCCACACAGTTCTTCATGCTTTACAAATATTAACAACAAATTACATCCACATACTGAAGCAGGAACAACCCCTAATGATCTGCATTATACATATCAGGGACAGAAGGAAACAGTCATGTGACTGCCTGAAGCCACACAGCTAATTAACGGGGGAACTCAGATTTTGAAGCCAGGCACTGTGGCCCCAGGGACATGCTCTTAACCACTATTTACTTACTTTCCCTTGGCATAAAGAAGTGAGGTGGCATCACCTGGCTGTGTCAGAAGAAACTGTCAAGAAAGCATGTGATAGTACACAAATAAAAATTAAGGCATTTGATGGTCATGGCCAGGTGCCCTGTCTCACACCTGTAATCTCAGCTCTTTGGGAGGCTGAGGTGGGAGGATCACTTGAGACCAGGAGTTTGAGACTAGCCTGGGCAACATGGCAAGACCCCATCTCTACAAAGAAAAAAAACAAAAAATATTAGCTGGGTGTGGTGGCACACACCCACATTCCCAGCTGCTCAGGAGCCTGAGGTGGGAGAATCACCTGAGCCCAGATAGTCAAGGCTGCAGTGAGTTGTGATCACACCATGGAACTCCAACCTGAGTGACAGAGCAAGACCTTTTTTTTTTTTTTTTTAAAAGCATGTGATGACAAAAGTTTGAAGACAAACACATGCCTTTTAAAATACTAAAACAGTAGAATCCCTTTTCTATTCAAAATTCCAGGTGAAACCCCCAAAACAGAATCTCTCTTCTTAGGTTCTCACACACCCACTGTACCTGTCCCTTGCCACTGAGGCCCCTTTAGGCAACCTCAGGACTCCAAGAGCACGACAGGGAACTAGAAGGGTCCAGTCCTGGGTGTGTGTAGTGGGAAGCTTGGGGCTCCCAGGCACAGCCACTGCCATCCTGTCATAGTGTCAGGATGAGGACTCCAGTGCATCATCGGCAAAAACCCAAGGAAGAGCTTGGGGCCAATGGGCTATTCTCCACATTACTGGCAAACATAGTGGCATTTTTGCAGGAAGCCTGCTGCACTGAGTAATTTATGAGAAAAGTCAGGTTCTTCCAGGAAAAAGCCAGCATTGCATAGAATGTTCTGCAGAAAGCTAACTCTTCCGAAATCCAAATTAATGTGTGTAGTTTTAGCCTCTTTGTTTCATCTTCTCCAGCTGCTTTACAATCTGAACAAATACTAAGCAATTTTACAGGGGGACCATGGAGAATAATTTGGACAAAATGTGCTTTGCTTTAATGACATTAATGTAGGTGAAGCCTTCATGCCAAAAGGAGCCCTGCCCGGGAATGGACTTCCAGCTGTCCTTCTCCGCCACACACAAGCAGTGATATACTGTTGCTGGCCACAGCCTATCTACTCCATAAAATGTGTGAATCATCCATGTAAATGAGGCAGGATATATATGTCATCTGAGGTTTAAGAACAAAGAGGCTTTAAGAAATCACATAAATAACTACTTTGTGCTCGGTGAACACAGAAGCTTGAAAATCCCTTTGTGACAGGTGGGCAGAATATTGATGGCCCCACAATTAAGAAATCTCCATTCTTCAGCGAAATAGTCAAAGGACAGATGATCACTGAGAAGCTCCTTAATAAGTCAAGGATCAGAACTACTGACTCATAGGTCTGCTAAGATCTTAGACTGAAAGAAATTTTGGGAAGCCTCCATGAGCCCTTCTTAATGCAACCTATTGAGTGACATACGCTCTGTCTGGGGTGGTATCTGTCCCCGTTTTGAAGGAGCTGTGCGTGACAAACTGTCAGGAGTAGAAGGGAAGTGGGGAGGAGTGGGACACAGGATTCTACCTTAACAACCATCTGTAGGGAACAACAATTCCAGAGAATAACTACCTCCAGGAGGTTCAGAGTAACCCTCTAGAGAGTCAGTGGAATGTATCAAAAAATGGAAGAAATCAAAATAGCTGGAGTGTGGCCAGGCGTGGTGGCTCAGGCCTGTAATCCCAGCACTTTGGGAGGCTGAGGCGGGTGGATCACTTGAAGTCAAGTTCGAAACCAGCCTGGACAACATGGTCTCTACAAAACTTAGCCAGGCGTACAAAACTTAGCCAGGCATGGTGGCACATGCCTTGTAATTCCAACTACTCCTGAGGCAGAGGCAGGAGAATCGTCTGAACCTGGGAGGTGGAGGCTGCAGTGAGCTGACATGTCACTGCACTCCAGCCTGGGTAGCAGAGAAAGAGTCTGTCTCAAAAAAAAAAAAAAAAAAAAAAAAAAGCTGAAATGTGAACTATATTGCTATTCCACCAAAGTAAAAAGGATGTGCTTGCTAAGTAGCTTAAAATATATATAAAGTACTGGTGGGACCAAATCACCGGGAGGGCAGGTTCAGTTGTATGCCATGACAGCAAAAGACAGCTAAAAGAAACAAATCAAGATGGAGAGATTTCATCAAAAATCTAATTACATCTACATTTGAATAAGAGTGTTCATTAAATTTCAGAGGAATAATGATCAACTATTGATACATAAAGCAAATGTGTACAATTTTGTTTAAAAATTGTTTATAATTGGAAAATTTCTAAATCATAAACTTGTTTATACACAGATTTCTATCTTTTTTTTTTTTTTTTAGCAGTCTCTCTTCCCAGCTGAGTGCGGCGCGATCTCACTCACTGCCTCCCCCCCCCCCCTCCCCCCCTCCTGTGCTCCGCCCCCCCCCCCTTTTTTTTATTTTTAACTTCATTGTTACCAGTTCTCTCCTATCGATCCCCCTCCCCCCAGCTGATTCAGCTACCCCGCCCCCAGATTTCTATCTTTTTACCCATCTTCCCACTCCCAGTCCCTGCCAGTTTCTCGGCTCCAATATATTGCTTTATTTTTAGCAGAAATAGGCAAATGTTGATAGAATGAAGAAATGAACCTGTGGTGTTCCGGACAGAACTTCAGATCTCAATTTTATTTATTCTTTGGCCCTGTCTTGGGGAACTTTAAAAGCATATTAGTGGGTAAAATGAATTATGTATCTACATACTTTGGAGACTCATAATCTGAAGCCAGAATAACTGGGATGACTCTTCAGTCAGCAGGATGTTAAGTTTGGCCAGAAGGACTTTCCAACATTATTTACTTAGTTTACAGATATTACAGACTATAAGGTCTTTCTTAAAGAATGTTGGAATCTGGCTATCAGATGCAAGAACCAAATGAATAAAACAAGCATTGCATTTGAAGGTCAAGACAGTCCCGACCTGAAAAAATGGTCGTTCAAGGACAACGGGATAAGAAGAGATAAAGGATGACAAAATTAGGCAGATTTAAGCAATAACAATATTTAGAAGATCACAAATCCAGAAAATGGGAGCTATTACTTTAGAAACGCTAACACTAACCCCCGTCTCTTTGCGCCGTCCCTCCCAAACCCAAGCTCAACCTTAACCTGCAATGTCCTGCCAAACTTGCCCAAAAACCTTCTTTCTCTGTTGGTGAGGGTGTTGACCCTCTGTCCTTCCAAATTACTGTTTGCTTCTGAGGTGGCCTCCTAGCTTTTAAAGACAGGCCCCAAATAAACACTTGTAGAAATAGCATAGGGCAGTTTTTGCAGTAATTACAATCTATTTTATTGAAGTGCTGCTTACTTACACTGTTACTCAAAATGATAGGAAAAGAAAGGTAGGGGAACAGGAACGATGAACTTAAATTGCACAATTCTGATAAATCAAAATAACAAACACCAGGTATTAGGTACTATTCCAAGCACTTTACATAATATTAGCTGATTTACTTTATAAAAACAACCCTATGACATAGATTAGTATTATCCTCCTCATTTTACAGAGAAGAAAACCCAACTCAAACCTAGGTAATCTAGTCATTACATTTCCAAATCCCTCCCCCTTAATTTTTTCCCCCTTTTGGGAGCCAGACACTAAAGACTAGGACATTCAAAAACAATTGCATATATGGAGAAAATCACAACATGACTATTCATGGCCATGGAAAGGTACAGGCTCAAAAAAGAGCTGTGAAGACCTTAAGTTTGTACCTCAGGCTGATCCTTGACATAGAGAAAGCCTATAACAATAGAAACAAAAAAATAGAAAGAAAAAAAATAGTAAGCCTTCGGGAAGAGGAAGAATCAGATTCCCAGAGTTACCACATTATTACATTCAAATACCCAGTTTTCAGCAAAAAATCACAATGCATGAAAATCCAAAGAAAAATATGGCCCATTCAAAGGAAAACAAATCAGAAACTGTCCCGGAATGAAAAAGGCCCGATGACAGATCTACTCAAAGACTATGTATGCACAAAATGTAAATATAAAGAGAAAACCTTAAAAAAAAAAAAAGGAAAAAATCCTACAGCTGAAAGTATAACTAAAATGAAATATTCGCTAGAGGAATTCACAGGCAGATTTAAGTGGGCAGAAGAAAGAATCACTGAACTTGAAGACAGGACAATGGACATTATCGAGTTTAAGGAACAGAAAGAATAAAATGAAGAAAAGTGAACACAGCCTAAGGCACCTATGGAACGGCATCAAATGACCCAATATATGTTTTGTGGAACTATCAAAAGGAGAAGGAGGCAGAGAGAATATTTGAAGAAATAATGAAAACTTCCCAAATTTGATGAAAGACATTAATATAAATATCCAAGAAATTCAATGAAATCCAAGTGAGATGAACTTAAAAGAGACCCACACTGACACACGGTACAATCAAACTGTCAAAAGACAAAGATTGGCCAGGTGTGGTGGCATGTGCCTGTAGTCCCAGCTACTTGACAGGACTGAGGCAGGAGGACTGCTTGAACCTGGAAGGTCGAGGCTGTAGTGAGCCGAGATCATACCACTATACTATAGCCAGGGTTACAGAGTAAGACTCTGTCTCAAAAAAAAAAAAAAGAATCTTCAAAGCAGCAAGAGAGAAGCAACTCATCACATATACAAAGGATGGTCAATAAGATTATCCCCAGATTTCTCATCACTAGTTTTGGAGAACAGAAAGCAGTGAGCCAATAAAGACGCTCCTCAACTTATCTTATGATGGGGGGTTTACATCCTTATAAACCCAGCATAAGTTGAGAATATTGTCAGTCAAAAATTCACTTCATATATCTAACTTACTGAACATCATAACTTAGCCTAGCCTACCTTAAACATGGTCAGAATATTTACATTACCCTACAGTTTGGCAAAACCATCTAACACAAAAACCATTTTTAAAGTGAATATCCCATGTAATTTATTGAATATTGTACTGAAAGTGAAAAACAGAATGGTTGAACAGGTACTTGAAGTATGGTGTTTACTGAATGTGTATCACGTTCACACCATCATAAGGTAAAAAAAATCGTAAGTCAAACCATTGTAAGTTTAGGACTATCTGCATATTCAAAATACTAAAAGAAAAAACAACTGTCAATCA